GGGGAAAATGGAACCTGCACTGATTCCTTTCCAGATGCTGGCAGGTGCTCTGGGCTGGGCCAGTGGGGTGTTTCTCCTCTAGGAAAGAAGGGAATGTGAGGGATCCCCCACAGCCTACCTCAGTTCTCTCCAGCTGTCACCAAARCTGTGGGAAAAACAAAAACTCTCCAACAACATTTTAATGTTTGAGAGTCAAGGCATTGCTTTATTTTCTGCCTGGGATGTTGTTCTGGCCAGGATGTGCCACAGMAATAATTTCACCCACACACAGCCCAGGTGTGCAGAGCGAATCATTCCATGACATGTGGCTTTTATAAGATTTTCCCAAATTTGATACAGTCAAAATCCAGAGAATTKGATTGGTTCAATGTTCATTRGTCCAACATTTCATGGGCTGAAGGATAAAGCATCCAGGGCAGCCCTTCTCCTACTAAAAATGGTGAAAAGAAAAACCCAAAACCACCCAAGAACCCCAACCCCGGCACTTCCCACCCCGTATCCTCACCATTCCTGCTGTTTCCAATAACTTGCAGGGATGTTTGAACCCGAGTGCTGCTCTGCCCTTTCCCCTCCCTGCCCCAGGAGAACCCAGCAGCTCCAGCTGTTTTCCTGGCAGGAATATTTGCTGCTTTGTYCACAGGGAAGAGCCTGGAGGCTGCAGCAGAGCATTGCTTACCCCACAGCTCTGGTCCCAGGCTGCAGGGATCCCGTGGGAGGAGCACAAGACACTGTTAATTTGGTTTTGAATGGCTGCCTTCCCCTGCTAGGGTGGAATTGAAGCCACCAGGGCAGGGTGGGTCTGCAAAGTCTCTCGTGCCCTTGGGGAATTGGGGCTTTGTGCTCCCAACAATGTGAGTTTGCCTTTCCCACTCCCTGTTGGCCTTATCTCCTCTCCCCGGGTCTGTGTCATCCTCACCACTGCAGGGAGAATGCCAATGAGCAGGAGATAAATCTCAGAGAGCGGGGTTTGGATTTTGTAGGAGATGAACCTCAGAGAGTGAGGTTTGGATTCATCAGATGAACCTCAGAGGGCGGGGTTTGCATTTTGCCAGATGAACCTCAGAGAGAGGGGTTTGGATTCTCCAGGAGATGAACCTCAGAGAGCGGGGTTTGGATTTTGTAGGGGATGAAGCTCAAGGAGCGGGGTTTGGATTTTGCAGGAGATGAACCTCAGAGAGTGGGGTTTGGATTTTGTAGGAGATGAACCTCGGAGAACAGGGTTTGGATTTGCCAGAAGATGAATCTCAGAGAGCAGGGTTTGGATTTTGCAGGAGATGAACCTCGGAGAATGGGGTTTGGATTTTGCAGGAGATGAACCTCTCAGACAGCGGGGTTTGGATTCACCTCCAGAGCTCTTTGATCCTGGCTGAGCTCTTTATCCCCCACAGCATTCCTTGGGGGAATGTGCCTGAGGTGAGCAATGATTAAAAGGAAACACTCCTGTCACAGCCTTGTCTTCATCAGAGCAGGTATCAGTATCTACCAAAAGCTGCTTTTCATGTCTGAGTCAGTCTAGTTTGACTTTCTGGGCAGGATTTCAGGGTCACTTGTCACTTTGCCCTATCATGACCATTCATTCATTCATTTYAAAGAAAGCTTTTCCCTGTGGAAGATCCCTTTCAGTGTCTGGCTCCCTTCTGTTGAGCTCTTGGCTTGCTGTGGGGAAGGCAATAGTTAAATCAAGTAACACAGCCATGGTTTCACCCAGCAAACATATTYAACTAGAGAAGATTCCTAAAGAACTGTGTTTCTGTGAATCCTTGTCTCCCAAGTCTGGTTTTGGAGTCTGAGGAGCACCTGCTGTTGCTGTCACCGAAACTGGGGGAAAAACAAAAGCTTCCCAACAACATTTTAATGTCAGAGTCAAGGCATGACTTTATTTTCTGGCCAGGATGTTGCTCTGGCCAAGTTGTGCCACAGAAGTCATTTCACCCACASACAGCCYGGTRTGCAGAGAAAATCATTCCRTGGCACATGCATTTTACAAGATTTCCCCCAAACTTTATCCAGTCAAACCCAGAGAACTTTATTGGTTCAACATTCATTGGTCCAACGTTGTGCAGTTCTCAGGATTTGGGTTCCTGTTGGATCTGGATTTCTTCCCCTCTGATGCTGATCAGGTCCTGCTCCTCATCTCTCTTTTCCCAGACCAGGAGTGTCTGACCAGGCCAGGGGGGAGGTTTGGGGCTGATGTTCTGTTCATGGTCACTGGTGGTCACTGATGGCCACTGATGGTCACTGATGGTCACTGATGTCCCTTCTCTCCTGTTCCTCTCCCGCTCTGTTGAGCTGTGAAACTCCTCAGGCCTCACCTGGTGAAACAATGTCCTGCAAAGAAACTTCAGCGCCTTCCCTGGGGCAAAGGAAAACAAGATCTTTGACTAAAGTTACATATTTTGTTTTTAACTTGTGTATTTTCCAACACCAACAGTGGTGATTCAAGGATGGATTTGCAGTTGGGATCCCTGGCTGGGACGAGGGATTGCCCCATGTATGTTCTSCACGTGCCTGGATGGAGACCCTGCCCTGTGCCCTGATTTTGCAGAATCCCTGACTGGTTTGGTTTGGAGGGACCTCAAGGCCCCATCCAGTGCCACCCCTGCCATGGCAGGGACACTTCCCACTGTCCCAGGGTGCCCCAAGCGCCATCCTTGGGCACTGCCAGGGCTGTGTTGGGGGTTGGACAGCACCAGGGAGGGAGGTGCAAGGACATGACCCCTGTGGGCTCTGCTAACCCTGCCTCTCTCTGTGCTCTCGGTGCTGCAGGTGCAAAGAGCTGAAGTACAGCAAGGACCTTCCTCAGATCTCCATCATCTTCATCTTCGTGAATGAGGCGCTGTCGGTGATCCTGCGCTCGGTGCACAGCGCCGTCAACCACACCCCGGCACATCTGCTCAAGGAGATCATCCTGGTGGATGACAACAGCGATGAGGGTGAGCAGCTGGCAGCCCCCAGAACCTTCAGGGCTGCATTTYGGGGGTCTCCTGCAGGGTTCTTCGGGTGGGGGGCAGTGGGGTACAGGGGTGGGGTGRGATGCTGCTGGCACAAAGCTCTGTCCAGCTGCTCTGGCAGGAACAGGATGAATCTGCAGGTAAATCTGGGACCGTTGTGGTGTGAAAGCAGAGCTGGGAGATGGGAGGTGAAGGACACCAGAGAGGCACCTGAGCTCTCCCTTGGACAGCATTCAGGAGCTCTGGTTTAGGGTATCCTGGTTTCTAATAAGAGCACTCTGGCTGTTGCACAGAKGCACCTCGGAATATTTCCCAGGGCAAGAGCCTGGAGCCCAGAGGGATTTGTGCTCTGGCATCTCCCAGTGGTGTCGACTGAGATGTTTCCTCTGTGTGTGCCTCAGTTTCCCTGCTGTAAAATACCATCTATAGATGCTTGTGCCCTGCAGAGACCCTCCTTCCCTGCTTTCTGGTGTTGGTGGGAGAAGGGAACAGAAAGGGATGGGTGAAACAGCCTGGAGRGGCTCTTTGGTGTCTGGATTAGCCCTGGCTCAGCCTGGAGGGGCGCTTTGGTTTCCCATTTTACATTTGTGTCCCTTGGTCCACCCTGCTCCCAGTCCCTGCTGTGATTCCTTCCCTCCTGGCTCTTGGGAACAGCAGGAAGAATTTTCTGACTCCAGTTCTTCCAAGGTCTTTTTTTCAATTCCAATCTCCAGTGGCCAACGGCAGCAGGGCRGTTCAGATCCTCCTGAAGGACAGCAGACAGTGAAGTGACTTTGTTTGCTGCCTCCTTCAGTTGTGCTGTGTTTTGAGGATTTTAATGTTAATTAGAAACAGTGAATCAGGGCGTTCTGTGGGTGCTGTGATTGGAGGGAAGGAGAGGRCAGAGGCAGGATGGGGTGAGCTCACCCCAGAGAGAGCTGAGAGCTGCTCTGTCCTGAGGGGAGGAGATGGGCACAGTGAGCTGCTCAGGCTGAGAAAACCAGCACTGCACTGGAATGAGCAGCACAGTGATGAGCGCCACAGATCACAGAGTCAGAGTCACAGAATCACAGAATCCCAGAGTCACAGTCATGGAATCACAGAATCACCAATCACAGAGTCAATCACACAATCACAGAGTCACAGAAACACAGAAACACAGAGTCACAGAATCCCAGAGTCACAGTCATGGAATCACAGAATCACCAATCACAGAGTCAATCACACAATCACAGAGTCACAGAAACACAGAAACACAGAGTCACAGAATCCCAGTCACAGAGTCACAGAATTACAGAATCACAGAGTAACAGAATCACCAGGGTTGGAAGGGACCTTCAAGATCTTCGAGTCCAACCCCTGCCCTGACACCTCAACTAACCCACGGCACCCAGTGCTACATCCAATCTTTGTTAAACACATTCAGGGATGGTGACTCCACCACCTCCCTGGGCAGACTATTCCAGTGCTTTGTGACTCTTTCTGTAAAGACCTTTTTCCTGATATCCAACCTGTATTTCCCTTGGGGCAGCTCAAGGCTGTGTCCTCTCGTTCTGCCAGCTCTACCTGGAGAAAGAGCCCGACCCCCCCTGCCCACAGCCCCTTTCATGGAGCTGTAGAGAGCTCAGCTCAAAGCCAAGACACAGCCTTTCACCCCAGAGTGAGGATGGAGAGGGGATGGAGAGGGGAATGGTCACTGCTGAATGACCCCTCTGCTCCAAGAGTCACAGCCAGGGGTCAGCCAGGGTGGGAACGTGATAAAGTCACCCCTGAGTCTCCTTTTCTCCAGGCTGAACACTCCCAGCTCCCTGAGCTGTTCCACCAGGGAAAGCTGAGGAGTTCTGATCACAGTGAAGGAAGCAGGGGAGTAGCTGTTCAGCTGGGGGGACCCACAGCAGCTCTAGGGACAGAGCTTGGGTGGTGCCCACAGCAAATCTGTGCGGTTTCAGAGTCCAGACTGTTTGGGAAGCGAAGGGGCAGTGCAGGTGAGGTGGTGCTGGGGCATCTCACATTGCCCAGGGCTTGGAGGCTTTAAAATACCAAAATGAGAGGCTCCTTCTCCAAATTTTATCCCATTAATGGGATGGAGAGAGGAGCTCTTTTGAAGAGAAGCCATTGGTGATAATCACTGAGCTTCTCTCCCCATGCTGTGCACAAAGCAATGGTTCTGAACAGCCCCTTCCTCCTTCACTCCCTGAGGCTGAGGGTGAGGCTGAGGGAGGTGCTCTGGAGACTCCGGAAAGGCACAGGAACATGAAACAAATCCTTTCCAAAAACAYCTGCCTGTTCCACAGGCCGAGGGTGCAGCTGGCAGGGAGGATGCAGGGTGGGAATCTTCATCCCCTGTGGGATTGCAGGACCCCCCCTTCTCTGGGCTCTGCTGGGGCTGGGGGATGCCAGGGTGGTCACAGGGATGGCCAGAGCTTGGGCTGTGCTCAAGCTCTTCCAGCTGTGGGATTTCACAGAATCCCAGAATGGTTTGGGTTGGAGGGACCTTAAATYCCSTCCAGTGCCACCCCTGCTGTGGCAGGGACACCTCCCACTRTCCCAAGGTGCCCCAATCGCTGTCCAACCTGGCCTGGAACGCTGCCAGGGCTGTGCTGGGGTGTTGAACAGCACCAGGGAGGGCGGTGCAGGGACATGACCCCAACTGATGGACACATTCAAACATCCTGGGCACGGGTGGAGGGGAACATCCCAGTCTCTGGCACACCCTGGCAGGGTGCCCCCTGCATCCCACCCCGAGGGTGCAGGCATTGGAACCAGAAGCATCCAGGGTCCCTCCTGATGTGCCAGGGTTGTGCTGAGGCTTGGGCACCCCTGAGGGGCTCTGTCCTCAGKAACACTGGGCTGGAGGTGCACAAGGAGCGTGAGGTGGGCAGCGAGGCGATGACATCGGCCAGGAGGGTGAGCTAATAATGCCAATATTCTGCTGCTGGGGCTTTGCAGGCCTCGTGACAAACGAGATTTTTAAGGAGGGATTTGAAGGAAGATAATGAGGTAACTTGGCAGATGTTTATGAAGAACTCCTCCCAAGCGTGTAATAATCTGCTTTTCTCATGTAAAAGCAACGATACAAACCAGAACAGATCTCTGGGACCGTGTGCTCCCTCTCAGCATCCTCCAGGAGCTGCAGTGACAGCCAGGAATTATTAATGGAACTAACATTGGCACAGAGTTCCCACTAATGGCAGGCAATGATTCTGAACAGCAGCAGCAGCAGCARWGWCGATGCTTKGGATATTACAAACARCGTCACTGTAATAAACAGATTTGGCTGAATCTGGAAAATAATTACAGGAAAATAGCTCCTCGTGAGCTCTCAGATTTAGAGATGAATCCTGGATGATCCAGCAGAGGATGGGGCTCTGTGGCTGCAAAAGGAATGAGAGGGAGRTGTCTTTGGAAACAAACTGTGGGGTCTGCTGGGAGATCAGGGCAAATCCTGACAGGTGAGAGGAGCAATGGGAGGAGCCATAAATTCCACAGGAATTGCACCCATTGGCACAGACTGGTACTGACCCAAGGCAGGGCTAAACCCCTGGGCTGAGAGAAAAAAAAAACAGAGACACAAAAAATAAAAAGGGGGGGAGATGCACATTAGATGGTGTCCGTATTAGGCAATTTGGGAATTGCGTACTTCTCAAACACCTCAGTTAATGGGGAAAGAGAGGGGAAATGTAGCCGGGAAATGGGGATAAAAGAGGCTGCACCCTCCAGCAATTTGAGAGACCCCATGGAAATGTCCCATGGCCTTTCCGTTTATTGGAATAAAGTCACAGGACTCCTCTGTCTCCTTTTTGGACATGAACCTCTGGTGTTTGTGAGTTAATTTTCTGAACAGGTGTGACTTTGAAGCTGTGGTTGAACAAAACAAGGAATTCCTTCAGCCTGTTTGGGGGCAGCCATGTGGGTGCGAGGGGCAATTTCTGGGGGGATGTGGTCATAGCCCAAAGGAAAAGGAAAGGAAATAGGCTTTTCCATAGCAAAGAAAAGGCCTTTGTGGGGCTGTGTGACCTGAGAGAAGGCTGACCCCAGAGAGCAGTGCCGAGCCCAGGAGCTATGGCATCCCCTAGGTTAACCAGAAGGAGTTTTGGGAAAGGCTCAAGACAGCCCCAGGCTGGGGGGATTTGTGTGTGTTTGGTCGGGGGGGAAGAGGAGCCACAGCAAATCTGGGTGACTGAAGAACAGAGCACCAAACATTAACAGAGATTTCCAAGGCAACTCAAGTTTTAAGCTTGGTAGAGCAAGAGCCACCTGCCCTGCTCCGCTGGCCCCGCAGGCTCCGGGCAGAGCCGTGGCACAGCCACAGCACACCCTGGTGCTGCTTTGAGGCTGCAAAAACGCTCCCGAAGCCTCATTAGACGTTCCTCGCTCTCAGCTTTGTTGTACGACAGCGCGGCACAACACAAAAGTGTGCAGTGAGAGATGAGAGTTAATGWGCACAGGCATTCTGCTGCTTTGTGTCGGAGCTGTAAACAGATAAAAGATGCCGATGTATCGTACGGGGAGGGAAAAAAAAATCCCTCCTTGAAGGAGAAAGCTCGGGGAGTTGTAGTTTGAACCCCGTTCTCCCCTGAGCGGCACGTTATATTTCCTRAAGACTCTGGTGGAGGCTGCCTTTGTTGCAGGGCTGTGATTCCAGGTTGTGTTTAARGGCGATAAGGAGGTTCCTGGGCTGCTGGAGGAGCGCAGCCACGTGCCCCTGAGATGCTCTGTTATCTCACAGCTGCACACTTTGTCGGAGTCTTGTTGCTTAATCATCACCTGCTTTCTKTTTTCCGGCTGTTGTTGTTGTTGTTGTGTCTTTTGGCGTTTTAATCTGGGATAATATCTCCTCGAAAAGCAAACCTCGCTGAATAAAGGAATCCCTTTGGATAAAAGGCTGCTTAAAGGAGCTGGCTCCGCCCGGGGAGACTCGGGTTGTAATTCACCTCGGCATGAAATATTAGTGGGGTTTGAGGGATCCCGTGCTTGTTCTGCAGCTTCTTCAGCAGCAGGAGCTGCCTGGGTTTTGGTGTCAGGAGGGGAATTGCGGGAGCTGAGTCAGTCCCAGCCTTTCCTGCCCCAGCCCCGGTGCTGTTGTACCCCGGTGTTTAGGGCACAGTGAGGCTGAGGTTGGATTTTCTCTGCCTCGTTTATCAGAACTGTGATTTTAAACCACCAGCAGTGCTCTGAGATGGAGCAGCAGCCACTTTTCCCTCCATGGTGTTCTTCCAGCACCTCTTTCCCTCTTCATTCCTCCCAGTTTGTTTCTGGATCCTGACAAGCTCTGCCTGTGCAAACACTGCTCCAGTCCCCAGCCCGAGGATGGTTTTTTTTTTCCTGGAGCTGCCCCAGGGATGGGGTCCTGTTCCCAGGTTTTGGGGGCTCCGTGCAGAGGAGCAGCAGAGCAGTGCAGGGTGGGAATCTCGGGGTGGCTGTGTGGGGCCAGGAGTGGCACTGATGGCYCTGGAGGGTCCATCCCTTCCAGCTCAGGATGTTCTGTGAGCCTGTCTGGRTTCTGCTGAGCCAATGACCCTGAGGTTGGAGCAGAATGCCCTGAGTGKGAMCAGCTTTCTTAGTGACAAKTGATCCATCCCCTGCTCCCCTGTCRCAGGTTCCTCTTGCCCAGCTGCAGCTGAAAAGCTGCAGAGTCTGTCCTGGCTCTGAGTGTGTCGYTGAGAAATGTTCACATGTGTTTATTGCTCATTGAAGGAGCTGCTTCAGGGATTTCCTGCAGAAATGCCAGCCCTTSTGGCGTTGGAGGTTCAGGCTTGTGGGATGGGGGTGGCTGGGCTCTCCCCTGGGGCACTCCCAGCCCTGACCCCTCCGCTGGTTCTGATAACACCTGGGGCTCTGGGGGTTTCTCCCACCCAGCTGAGCCTGGCAAACTCGGRGATGTTTTCCTTGGGGGTGGTGAGGAGGTGTGGACCTCTCCCAGGGACCACCTGGCCGGTGCTGCACAAGGAACTCCCTGCTCCTGGCAGTCCCTGGAGCTCCTCTGATGCTGCTGGCCTTTGCTGCTTTCTCTGTGTGGCAGTTCCCACCTTCAGTTCTGAGGGCTCCCTGGGGTTTGGAGAGGTTTGGGTGATGCCTGATGSTTTTTGCCTTTTATACACCCTTTTATATTTTATAGACCCTTTTAGATATTTTCTGCACCCTTTATGCATCCCCTGTACCCTTTGCCTACATGTTTGTAATTCTTATAGCATGATATTCCAGTTCAATTTTGGGGTCCTGCTGGGCAGAGACACCAAACATCCCCAGTAAAGGGTCAGTGAGCTCTGTGCTGTCTCAAACTCAAGGTTCCAGCCTTGGATGAAACCTTCTCTCTGGAGGACATTGTGTGAACTGGGCTCTGGCCTCATCTGGGGGGATTCTTTAGAATAGGGGGACATGACTGCAATTGTTAAGTTTCTTATTGGGGAATCCTAGATAGATCTGCTCATTTGTGAAATCTATAATAGTTGTATTCCTGTTATACGTGGGTGCATCTCGATGTGTTCCATCCTGTGCACCCGGGATCCCTTTAATTACCCAGGTAAAACYCTTTTACCYCCTYACCCCTGTCTGCCTCAGAGTTCTAAAACCAGCMCAAAAGGCAKYATGGGCAGGGTTTGGRGTGGGGATGGAGCAGGGGGTGTTTCTGTGCTGCCGTTTGGGCTGCTGTCTGTGCTGGGTTGCTCTCTGTGGGATCAGGTGGCTCCCTCTCCCCGGCAGCCCCATTCCTCAGGCTGTGCAGGTGACAGGACAGTTTGTGACAGATGACAGCAGTCATTGCAGTTGGCAGCTGGGGCTTCTCACGGAGCAACAGGCTCATTGGATCCGAGTTGCTGGGTTTGCCCTTCAGGGAGGATCGATAGGGACCGGTGAGAGCAAAGGCAGGGTTGGAGCTGAACCCGCTGGCGTTTCAGGGGCGCTGCTCTCTGCACATCTCCGCGGGCATCAGCTCGTGCTGGGGCAGAGATCAAACCCTCCCAGACTGCACCCAGGATACGCAGGGCTGCTGGGGCTGTGCTCCGAGGGATCAGAGCTTCCTCAGAGCATGCTGGGGGTGTGTGGGACCGGGACCATGGGGTGCAGAAGAGGAGGGAGTCTCCAGGCTCCAGGGCAGTGCTCAGAGTGAATTCCTGGATGTGCAGCCCCTGTGGATCCACCCACAGGGAATCGGGAATCCTAAAGGAGGGCACAGCCTGGAGGAGAACTCCTGTGGCTGGAGGAATGAAGGTGAGCTGGGGACCTCTGCTCTGCTGCCATCCTGGCTTCTGACTTCCTTTGCCGTGATTTGACATTCAGGGTCCCCAGTTTTGGACACTGTCCTGGCTCWGTGTCCTGTGGTGTTCTCACTGTCAGCCCTGTGAAAGCACCACCATGGCCCCSTGCCAGGCAGGGGTGAGCGTGGCAGCAAGTTCCCTGAGCTGTGGTTTGTGTGGGGTCCTGGAAGGGGAAGATCCAAGGGTCAGGCTGCCCCTTAGGGTGACAGCTGTGCTGTGCTGCGCTGCTGTCCCTCAGTGCAGTCACAAACCCCTGGCACTCTGTTAGAGCTCCCTGGCATTGTCCCCTGGGGCCGTTTCAGAGCWGCCCAGATGCTGCTCAGGCCCTGGGCTCTCAGCAGGGCACAGCATCCTCAGAGAGGGGAGGGGAGGGGTGGCTGTGGCTCCCGGGGATGTTCTGTCACAAGGAGCTGCTGTCCCACAGCCTGGTGGGCACAGGAGTCTCCCAGCTCTGACCTCTTGCTGCCTGTGAGGTGTGACATTGAAACTCTTCTGTCCCACTGCAGCTCTGCTCTACCTGGAGCTGCTCAGACAATTCCCCAGAGGAGTTCTCACATTTTCCTTGCTAGAGACTCCAGCTCCAATGTGGAAGTTGTTTTAATCACTCAGCAGTGCTGTGGTCTGCTACATTCATGCCTTACCTGCTGCCAAAGCCACGTGAGGTGCTGGTGCTGTGCTTTTGGAGCTTCATCTGTCAAAAAAAATCGGTGTCTCTGTCTCCTTCAAACCATTTGGGAGAGTTGTTGTCCCCATAAAATCCTGGTTTTGCTCCGAGTGGCTCAGCGTGAAATGGAAGTTGCTGAGTTATGGATGTGTGTGATGCAGATGCTCGGAACTGAGGAAGGGGCTCATTTGCTTTATTCTTCTTATTCCCACTTCAGCATAAAAGAGAAAGGAGACTTTGGGGGGATGGAGATGTGAGAGGAGCCATCCCAGAAAGGCGGCATGGGGAAAGCACATTTGCTGTGCCTGGGAGGAGGCGGGGCAGGGAAGGGAACAGAAAATCCTTCTGCTTTGRTGCTTTGGAAGCAGATGAGATTTGCTGTTTCCTCCTCTGCTCTCCACTGGGTGTTTCCCTCATGTGGGAGCCCACGTGTGCTCAGATGCCTCAAGGATTTTACCCCATGGAYGATTCGTGGGGATTCTTTTTGCCTCTCTATTTTTTTTGTCCTGGAGAGAGAAAGAGTAGAGTGAAGGGTAGCAGTCTGTAATTCGAGGTCACAGATTGTATCTTAATTTTCTGCTGTCCTGAAGTCTCACAGGGACAAAAGACATTCTCAGAAGCTGCTATCGTGGTGTTAAGGGTTTGTTTTTCTACAGACTGGCTTTGCTAAGCTTTTTGAGTTCCTCTCTCCAGCAGACCTTTGTGCTCTGCATTGATGCAACAGGTGCTGAGAGGACTGAGGGCTCTGGCASTCCTCCAAAGTGCTGAAAGAAACATCCTCTCATTGTAGCCTTCCATCTGCTTTCACCTTCAAAGTGGGTCTTTTATACTCAAATCCTCTCCGGAGTTTTTGTGCTGGGGGTGGCTGCAGGTCCTTGAGGGTCTCAGGCACTGCACTCACAGCCTGGCCAACAGAGGGAAATGAGCTGCAGTGAGCACAGCACCCGTGGTGGGAGGATCTTCTCAACAAAGCCCCAATCCCTTTCATCCCCTCATGAAAGCTAAGGGAATTTCAGCTTTTCTGGTGGCAAAACAAACAGCAAGTGCCAGGACTGCAGTGGTGAAGCTGAGSGGAAAGGGCAGTGTAGCTCGGAGCYGGGTTTGATGGAGTTGGAGTTGATTCAGATGGGGTTTGCAGCATTTTTGGCAGTGCATTCAGCCCAAACCTCCAGCGGAGGTTCTGAGTGCTGGTGTGTGCTGTCCAGGATTTCTCCCTGTCCTTGTGTTTCAGTCCCATTCCCTGTAGTGCAGAGGAATACCAGTGTCCTCTCCCTCCCTTGGCCCCTGAGGTGCCCTGTGGGCTCCCCACTGCTCCAGCAGCAGCTTTTTGGGCCCCATTGAGTTCTCCTGTGTGGGTTGTGCTCGGTCCATCCTGTGCAGATGGGTACTGATTGTCCCCAAACGCCTGTGTCCCTGCCAGGGGGTGTGGGGGTGCCCAGCTCCCAGAATGCTGCCCCARTCCCTGCCTGCAGTGGGTTTATCCCAGGATTATCCCAGCTGTGGCTGTGTGTCCTTGTCCCCAGAGGAGCTGAAGGCGCCGCTGGAGGAGTACGTCAACAAGCGCTACCCGGGGCTGGTCAAGGTGGTCAGGAACCAGAAGAGGGAAGGGCTGATCCGGGCCCGCATCGAGGGCTGGAAGGCGGCCACGGGCCAGGTCACCGGCTTCTTCGACGCCCACGTGGAGTTCACTGCCGGCTGGTAGGTGCTGGGGGCTGCTTAGGGTGGGGGAATATCCATTGTGCTGTAGGGCTGTGTCCCTATAAATCACATACAAATCCTACGGCCTGTTAATCACTCACTGTGGGAAGCCAGGGCAGCCTCTCACTGTGACCTGGAAAGTTACAGAGAAGCAACTTCTGTGGGTGACATTTTACAATGAGAAATAGAGAWTTGTAACCMATTAGAAAAAGGTGAAAGAGCTCAGCTGCTGTAAAAGGAGATGTTCAGGTACCAGCTGAGGCGCCTTTGTGAAAGAACCATGGAAGATTCTGGAGAGAGAGCACAGAGGGTTGTTCTGTGAGTTAATAACAGGCTGAGGGCTGACACCTTCCTGTTGGTGTGTGAGGTCTGTGCTGACACCTCACCGGGATCCCTTCTGTGCTTCTGCTCTATGGGATGCCACTGATGCCTAAAACAAGGCTCACCTGAAACAGAGGACAGACAAACTCAAGAGAATCAAAGCAGATAAATTTAATCCAGGCCTGCTGATGCATTCAGGGCAGACAAAGCCTCCTCCTGAGGCTACACCCAAAATGGACCCCGAGTCACGAGATCTTCCCCTTTTATAAGTTCTGTCTCATGAACACATCAGGCCCCAATTCTCCAATGACACCTTCAGGTGATGATGTCAACCACCCCAAACTTGCTCCCCCCAATTCACTGTTGTTTACAGATTTTGGGGCTCTGAGGCAGCGAAGTGTCCTTGGATTTCAGGCTCAGAGAGGAATTGTTTTGTCTAAAGATGGGAGAGCAGCAGCTTTAGTGCTGTACACTGGAGAAGTATAAGAATACAGATACATGGAAATAAAGACACTAAAAATCCTAAGGCCTCATTATGATGGGAACATAAAAACCTTCCCTTGCCCTCATTCCCTCTAATCCTTCTCTTGTCTCTCCCTTTAGGCATGCACTTTCCCTGCCCCCTGTTTATGATTTTCAGGATGATTTCCCATTCCCTTAGCCTTAAGTAATTTCTGCAAGTTTAAAAAAGCCCAGGGCAGCAAGGGAATGAAGGAGAAAGTGTTTCCCACTTGTGTGCCCTTTGCTGCATCCCGGTGGGGAAGGGTCAGATGCTTTGGATTGATTCCTTTCCTGTGCTACTGGGAGTAAGTGCAGAGGGGCAGCAGCAGCAAAAGGTGTTTCAGAAGGATTTTTCTCAGAGAGGTTCAAAACATTTGAGCTCAAGTGGCTTAAGTTTGAATCTATGCTGTGACAGGAGCCTGAAAGGGATTTTTTTTTCTTTAACCAGGTGTAAGAAGTAAATGGTCCATGTTTAGAAAAGTGGAGGTGGAGGAAGCTGAAGTTTTATTGAATTTGAATGCACTAACAGCCACAAAAACCTGTTTGCAGCTGTTAAAGACAGAGCTGTGCGCAGCTATTGACTCCTTGTTAATGGCAGTGCAGCTGGAGGGGGTGTTTTAGGAGCTGTCTGTGGTGTTGGGATCTGTGTTCCCAGGTGGACATTGCTCCCTCTGCCCCTGAATCCTCACACCCAATTTCACTGTGCTGCTGAGGCTGTTTTTTTAGGGACAGAGAAGAGGCATTGCTGCAGTGTGGGCTGGGATTCCCACCTGCTTCTGTGGCTGTGGGTGATGCCTAAAACAAGGCTCACCTGAAACAGAGGCCAGACAAACTCAAGAGAATAAAAGCAGACAAATTTAATCCAGGCCTRCTGGTGCATTGAGGGCAAAGCCTCCTCCTGAGGCTACACCCAAAATGGACCCCAAGTCATGAGCTTTTCCCCTTTTATAAGTTCTGTCTCATCAAAACATCGGGCCCCAATTCTCCAGTGACACCTTCAGATGATGATGCCAACMACCCCAAGCTTGCCTCCCCAATTCTCTGTTGTTTACAGATTTTGGGGTTCTGAGGCAGCGAAGTGTCCCTGGATTTCAGGCCCAGAGAGGAATTGTTTTATCTAAAGATGGGAGAACAGGAGCTTTAGTGCTGTACACTGGAGAAGTACAAGAATACAGATATATGAAAATATAGAAACTAAAAATCTTAAGGCACCAGGGGCACTGGRAGTACCAGTTCCCCCAAATTTGGTGTAGGGCAGGCTGAGCCCAGGTGACTCTGGGGCTGTGGAGGTGAGGCTGGGTGCACCCCTGGCTCTGAACACATCCCACAGATGGACTTTTAGCTCTAGAACCATCAAACTGCATCCCAAAGGGAAAAAACACCCTTCAAACAGCCCTGCTTTCAGGAATGTAGGCCTGTGCTGCCCAGGGTTTGTGGATCTGGGGGAAGTGTGGGCTGGTTGAAGCGGGGTTTAAACCAAGCACATCCTTCCTGGCCGTGCTTTACAGAAGGGAAGGTTCCCAGCCAGGCTTCCCAGGCTGTGGATGATGTTTTTATCCGAGACAAAGAAGCCATGGACTTGTGTGGGTCCAGAGGAGAAACGTGAAGGAGCAGGACARGCTGAGRGAGGTGGAGCTGTTCAGCTGGAGAAGTGAAGGCTCTGAGGAGATTCCAGAGCCAAGGGGAGCCCCCAGGAAAGCTGGAGAGGGATTCCAGCCAAGGGCCTGGAGTGCCAGGACACAGGAAACGGCTCCCCACTGCSGGGGGCAGGGGTAGATGGGGTCTGGGGAGGAATTGAGCGGGAGCTGCACTGTCCACCTGGCAGGAACTGACCACATCCCCCTGTGCTGTGCCCCTGTGTCCCCCCAGGGCCGAGCCGGTGCTGTCCCGGATCCAGGAGAACAGGAAGAGGGTGATCCTGCCCTCCATAGACAACATCAAGCAGGACAACTTCGAGGTGCAGCGCTATGAGAACTCGGCGCACGGCTACAGCTGGGAGCTCTGGTGCATGTACATCAGCCCCCCCAAGGACTGGTGGGACGCTGGGGACCCCTCCCTGCCCATCAGGTACGGCCAGAGCTGGGGGGCACCCACTGGACAGCCTCAAGGGGGACAGGGAGGGGTCCAGCTCCCAAGGGAGCGTGGGAGAGAGCTGGGAATGGAACCCAGAGCACCCTGGAGTGACAGGGGAATGGGGAATGGCTTCAAACAGAGCGGGGCTGGCTGGGATTTTGGGTTGGAATTGCTCCTTGGGAGGGTTGGAAGGGGCTGGGATGGAATTCCCAGAGCAGCTGTGGCTGCCCCTGGATCCCTGGCAATGTCCAAGGCCAGGCTGGACTGAGGGGCTGGAAGCAGCCTGGGACAGTGGGAGGTGTCCCTGCCATGGCAGGGGTGGGATGGGATGATCCTGAAACTCCCTCCCAACCCATTCCATGGTTTGGAAAATGCAGGAGGATGGAGGGAGAGAGGGAGGGACAATGTAATAACCCCTGTAGTGACACGAGCCAGGGAGGGTCTGGGGTGGTGATAGGGGTTGGAAAAGGTCACAACCCCACCAGGCAGTGCGGGAACTGTGCGGGTCTGTCCAGCCTTGTGCTGAGGTGCAGGGGATAGAGTGGCCTTGCCTCAGCTCAGGGCTGAGTTTGTGCAAAGGAATGAGGAGCTAATTCCCATGGGATGGGTTGAGGTGGATCCATGGAACACAGAGCTGTGCTTTCCTGAGTGGAAAGTTCCTCTCCTTGCAGGATAAGCTTTGGAAAAATGTGTCTCAGGTTGTTGTGACACTCTTGGCAGCTCTGAAAGGTGCTCCTGGCCCTGCCAGGCTGCAGGGATGGGATGAGCCCAAAACAGGAGCAGGMGGGGAGGGAAGAGCTGGGGCTGCTGTGTGTGTCCAGCTCAGGGGTTTTTGCTTCCAAGCCCCCAAACATCACAGGTGATGCTCTGATCAGGATGAGTTTCTGCCCAKGTGGGTTGGATCCACCTGGATCTGACATGGTTTATGTGGAGCAGCCTTGGTGTGAGGCCCAGAGCAGCTGCAGGTGGGAATCGTGAACCCAAATCTGCTTTGGTCCCTGTCGCAATCCCTGGAAGCCAAAATCAGGTCTGTTCACAGAGACTTCTTTTTGTTCCTTTGGCGCCCCTSTTCCATTCAGCCCTCAGTGCAGGAACTGTTAGTTTATTCTGGCCAGGAATCTGGGCTTTGACAAATAAACAGTTATTTTAACCAAATTGAAGCTGCTGGCCTTGCTAAAGGATGGCCAGGCYGTGCAGGAGGCAAAGCTGAGGAATCCAAAAGGCTTTGCGGTGAGGTGTGAGCAGTGTGGGGCTGGCAGCTCCTGCTGGAGCCTCTGGAGGGTAATAAAAGGGGATCAGCACTGCTGGGATAAACCTGGCTCAGCCAGGAGATGGAAAAGTCAAAAAAGAACAGCCTCTGTTATTAAAGTGGTGTAGTTGGAAGATCCAGGAGAGCTTTGACACGTGGAGTGTCCCCTGTGACTGTGCCACCACCCTGGGAGCTTGCTGGGCTCCAGAACCTGGCAGTGAAGGTGTTTGAGGGAACTGGACCCCCCCATTTGGCATTTAAATATCTGGCACCACTGTCTGCTCTGGTGGCCTCCCAGGGTGGGGCTGGAGTTTGTGTCGGTGCACTTGGGGTGGTTAAGGACAAGMTGTGGCAGAGCCACGTGGGGAGGGACAGCTTTCTCTGGGAGGTTTGTCTGATGGCAGGGGAAGGGAGGGTTGGTTGGGTCTTGGAAGGTGTTTGGTGGCAGGGGAGGTGAGGTTTGTTCTGTTTTTTGGAACTTGGTTTTTGCTGTAAGGGGAGGTGATGCTTATTTTCTTGGTTTTTTGGAAGGTGTTTGATGGCAAAGGAGGTGATCTTTATTTGGTTGGTTCGTTTGGGAACATTGTTTGAAGGCGGGGGAGGTGAGGTTTGTTTTGTTGGTTTTTGGAAGGTGTTTGAGGGCAGGGGAGGTGAGGTTTGGTTGGTTTGTTTTTTGGTGTGAGGGTAGGTGAGGTTTGTTTTGTTGTTTTTTGGAAGTTGGTTTTTGGTGTGAGGAGAGGTGAGGTTTATTTTGTTGGTGTTTGGAAGGTATTTGAGGGCAGGTGAGGTTTGGTTGGCTGGTTTGGTTTATGATGTGAGGGGAGGTGAAGTTTGATTGTCTGGTTGTTTGGAAGGTGTTTTATGGCAGGGGAGGGGAGGTTTGGTTGGTCGGTTTTGTTTTTGGTGTGAGGGGAGGTGAGGATTGTTTTGTTGGGTTTTGGAAGGTGTTTGAGGGCAGGGGAGGTGTGAAGGCATAGAGTGGTGAGCTGAGGAGACCCGTGGAGAGCCGAAGGGTTSGATGATCATGAAGAGATGGAATGGGGAGGGTAGGCCCTACAGAGCAGGATTTGGGTTCTTTAGGATGTTTCTGCCCAGGCTCCCCAGATGTGAAGCAGTTCAGGGGTTACCTGTGAGCCAGGAGGGTCAGGGGTGTCACAGGGATGTTGGACACACAGCTCCACACCTCATAGCACATTTATTTTCCTTGGTTTGGYTCTGAGAATGTTGAATTTGGTGCTGCCTGGGGATGAATCTGCTGCTGACCCACAGCTGCAGAAGTGAAGGGTTTGCTCTTGGAATTCTCTTGGACAGGAGGTCATGCTGGGTTGTTCTGGTGCTCCTTATATCCTAAAAAATGTAGGGTTGCTCAAATCTTTCAGTGTCCTGTGGGAAATCCAAGTGAGGTCTTTGGAAATGCTGCGGAACAGCAGATTGATGACCCAGTCCTGGGGGGTCCCAGGGTGGGATCCCGCTTCTCAGCATCTCCAGGAGTGATTTATTTCCCAGCTGACAGAACATGAGRTTTTTYRAGGTCTGGAGCCTGCTGTTTCACTRGTGTGAGCCCTGAGCCAGCAGCTGCTGCTGCCTGCCCTGGTGTGGTTGTGTCACCTCAGCTTTGGCCAAAAAGCTGCAGAAATCTGGGAGAGGGGTGACCCTATGGACTGCAGGGGCCTTGGTGGCAGAGCCAGGATTTGTCATCRCAGSTGGCAGGGATTGCTGGCTCCAGGGRTCTGATCCAGGAGAGCAATGAAATGTTCCCCTGCCCCTGGATCTCATCCCAAAGCCAGGGGAGCGAATGCTGAGCAGCCCCGGGGCTGAGGGACTCTCAGCTGAGTGTGAGAATGGGGCTGGCCATGCTCCTCTGCTGGCAGGGGCTGTGAAACCTGTGAACCTCCAGCAGAGCAGGGATCCCCCTGTCACTGCAATCACAGCGTCCCTAGGGTGGGAAAGCTCCCCAAGATGGTCCAGCCCTGGAGCAGCACCCCATGCCCCATAAATCCCACAGTGAAAAGCCACCTCTGCTCATTCTCTGAGCACCTCAGGGTGGTGGCTCTGCCCCTCCCTGGACACTCTGGATTATTTACAACAGAAAGCATTTCCTGATTTTCTCCTTGCATTTCCCACCCTGTGTGGGTTTCCATAGGAGCCAGATGTGGGGTGGTGAAATGAGAATTTGTGTTTGGGAACCTCACCTGGAATGTTTGAGAAGATTTTGGTGTGAATGGGATGGGATCCATGGGATGGGATGGGATGGGATGTGTGGGAATGTCCCAAAAGCTGTGCAGAGCAGTGGAGGCCCACAGGGTGAATTGTTCCCTTGGTGAACAACCCCAAAAAGGTGTTGGGGCTGGAGGAGCCTTCAGGTGGCTCCAGGGATGACAAGAAACCTCTGTCCAAGCTGCCACACCTTGGACAGGATGGGAGGCAGCTTTTAGGATAAACTGGGCTTTGACAGGACAGATGTTTTATGGGGCACTTCATCCTTGTCAGTGCTGGGTAACAAAGGCTCATTTAATTAGAATTGAGAGCATTGTGAGGAGGAAATGGGGTTTGAGGGTTATGGATTGGGAGAGAATAGAAAAGCTGATAGGTTTGGGGWTTTTTTATAAAGATGAAAACAATGTTAATTAACCCACCCAATCAGTTACTGTCTCAGCCTCACAAAGGGTAATGAAATTGCTCTTGCAGCGTACTTAGGAAAGAGTAGACTTCATCCTGATGTGTGAGTGATGCAGGGGTGGAAATGGGAAAAACAGAGAGGTTTTGGGTCACTGAGTATGGCCCAGGAATGGAGAGAAGGTTCTGCTGCTTCACAGAATGTTTGTGTTTAATTAAACAGTTCCTRAATCCCAGAGCTCAGGTGATGCTAAGCTGGCCCTCTCTGGGGGCTGTGCTTTCATTTGTGGGAGAACCTGAGAGATTTCTATGGGATCATGATTATATTTATTTGTTAATTCCAGAAACCACTGACWGTTGATTTTTCTGTGGGACTTCTTGCAGCCATTGTCCTGTGATGATGTTCAAAACCCCAGAAGTGTTTTATTTATTTGAATTAAATAAATGGTGTTTCTTTCCCCTTTTAGTCTAATTCCTAGGACTCCTTTCAGGCCACTGTCACAGCCTGAAACTTGTGTGCACACAGRATTTGCACAAACTCTGAAATAGCCAGAGGGGCCAGAAAAACTCTTGGGAATAACATCTGCTGCCATAAAATGATGGAAGAGGATCTCCATGCCTGGGACAACTCATTCCTGTGGCGCATCCCCACCCTTGCTGGGATCAGCAAGGATCAGACGCTCAAGAACAGGGTTAGACAGGTTTCCTTAAACTCTTGTAAATATTTTTACCAGCAATGGGGTTCTCACCATGTCAGAGGGCAGCTCAGGGATGGTGCAAACTGCTGGATGCAGATGGGAGGAAAAGGCAGAATTTTCGGATAATTTCCTGAGTTTSTGTTGGTTTGTTCTGAAAAAATCTGGAGGCATTTGTACAAAATGCTGATTTTTTTTTTTTTTTTAAGTTGGTTCTTTCTGGCTTTAACATCTACAAAATGAAGAAGATTCCCAATTCTGTGAGAAGATGGTTGTGAAATGTTCCCACTCTTCTGGCATTCAGAAGTTGAGGGGAAGGTTTCCATAGGAGCCAGATGTGGGGTGGTGAAATGAGAATTTGTGTTTGGGAACTTTACCCGGAATGTTTGAGAAGGTGCTGGTGTGCAGGTGTTTGCTTAGGGGGATGGGATGGG